TAACCCAATTCCATTAAATTCCAAAACACTTGGATACTTCCCAAACATCGAGACACTTCACTTGTGGGATAAAAAGGATGAGAATTTTGGCAATGGATTTATGATCAACACAGAAAAAAATGAAGATAGTGAAAATAAAGGTGTTTTGAAGAGAGAATTCTTTCGAATCATTGTGTGGTTCAATGTTGACTTTGAAACTGTTGACAGAAATAAAAATCGAAACATTGAGTTTAAAAATGTCACTTACACTAAAAATGATAGAAAAAAATTTGGTAATAATATTCCACCAACCGTGACATCTATTGGTTATGATTGTTTCAGTAAATGCAGCAGTTTGAGTAGTGTTAACATATCATCAAGTGTTACATCTATTGGTGATTATTGTTTTTATGAATGCAGCAGTTTGATCAGTATTACAATACCATCGAGTGTGACATCAATTGGTGATTGTTGTTTCAGTGGATGTAGTAGTCTGAGCAGTGTTACAATACCATCAAGTGTGACATCAATTGGTAATGATTGTTTCAGTGAATGCAGTAGTTTGAGCAGTGTTACAATACCATCAAGTGTGACATCAATTGGTAATTGGTGTTTGAGTGGATGCAGTAGTTATCGCTAGTGTAGTGATTGGGAGAGTAGTAGTAATGGGCGCGAGTGTAGTAGTGAATGCTTGCGAGGGGGGGGCCTAAAGCCAGCCCGCCACCCCCACCCACCTCCTATAGTGTGGGTTTACTTATATAGTATGGGAGGGGAATAATGAGATCTCGTGTGATGATTGACAGGTCAATGAAACGAGTTTTGAGTGGAGAATAATGTTATAAATAACAATAAATAAAAATGTTATAACAAATGTTATTAATAACGGAATGTTTTATATAACACATTATAAAAATGAATTAACCCTAATACAATTTTAAGTTCCAATATTTGATACCCTAGTGGGATATATTAATAGGTTTTGTAATGATACCCTAGTGGAATATTCCATTAGGTTTTATATTAACCCTAGTGGAATATTCCACACCATTTTTAATATTCCACAACGTAGACATTCTATTCCCCTACGAGGTGTGTGATTTTTGTAACCCTAGCAGATAAATAAATAGTAGTTTCTATATAACCCTAGTGAGGAATATTCCACTGAAAAACAATATATTCCACTCGTAGTCATAATATTCCATTCGTAGTGGGTGGTTGTTGTAACCCTAGCAGATAAATAAATAGTAGTTTCTATATAACCCTAGTGAGGAATATTCCACTAATAATTCTCTATCCGTGCACTCGAAGTGTGTGGTTGTTGTAACCCTAGCAGATAAATAAATAGTAGTTTCTATATAACCCTAGTGAGGAATATTCCACTAATAATTCTCTATCCGTGCACTCGAAGTGTGTGGTTGTTGTAACCCTAGCAGATAAATAAATAGTAGTTTCTATATAACCCTAGTGAGGATATTCCACTAATAATTCTCTATCCGTGCACTCGAAGTGTGTGGTTATTGTACCCTAGCAGATAATAATAGTAGTTCTAT